CCCCCACATCCACTTGATGACCGGACACGTCGACGGAAGGAGCAAAAGTACAGAACGCCCTCTCCCCCTTTTTGGTCGCTGAACTGTTCTCAAAACCTATTTGGCTACAAATAGAAACCAAACTATTCAAACCTTTAACTTTAGTCAACACTACAGAATAGCTCATACCACCAGCGAAAATCTTTGGAATGGAAAGTGGCGTTCACCTAAATACACAGGCTCTTTGAGATAAGAAAGTTACTTGTGAATAAGCCGTGACTGGTTTCACAAACCTGGCCTTGTTTAGACAGCGTTTTCAAAGACTTTTTTAAAAAATGTTCAAAATCCTTCCCCATAGATATGCTATCTCGAGATCCAAACGCCATCCTGATCACGTCAGCCTTCAAAAGAAATTAACCAAAGAAATGTACGAGGGACCAGGAATGAAACATTTGCAATACCTGCTTTTTTGGATGAACCGCATGTAGTTAAACTCGCCAGTAAGCGATTTTGACATACAAATATAATTTTTCCAGCCTAGCAAGATAGAGTATGATATTCAATAAAACATAATAATACGGATTCGGTTGTCAAATGACTAAGTTACAAACCTGATTGAAGTATAACTGCATATTGGACCAAGAATGGTCATCCAGCTCGTTTGTGTCAGCGACAATTAAGCAGGCCTTGATTGAAAATGTAGAATAAATGCGACGAGGAAAAGGGATAAGCCGCTTACTGTGGTTGGTTCTATCCATGGCTGCTTTTTCATGGCTTCTGGCGAAAGGTGGAATACTGTGTAACGGTCTGACGAGACCAAGCAAGACAATGAGCTCCTTATTCTTGAGTACAGCTCATCCTGGCCACCAGTGTAGACCAATATCTGAGAGGAGAACAGTTGAGTAAGCAAAGAAAGCTATGGCGACCTTTTAACCTAGCCTTTTCCATATGCACAGGTTGAGAAAGAATAAGATTTCGGTGCAAGGAATTGAAGTGAACACAGAAAACTTGGCCCTATCGACTCAGTCCCTACAGTAAACCTTAGCGTCTTCAGCAAAGATAGCACAACTAGTCCCCTGGGCAGAATTGAAACTTTGCGAAGATAAAGAGCTCCTATGATACCGGTAAATATGCACCGACGAACCAGGGAATGCAAGATCCCGAAGAATCAGCCACAAAAGGTTTGATGGAACTCTGTTGGTCAAGCAGCGTTCTCCCCATTCATGCGTTTTCCCAATTCACTTCTTTCTTCTTTCATTCTTCACTTCACTTCATTTTCCCGATTTTCCTGGTTCCCAGTCACCCCGAAAACGTTGAAGGTACGCCCCATGTTCAGAAATGGTAAGTTATGCGGCCCAGACACTAATTACACATGGTAAACAACAAAAGTGGAGGAAAAAAGCGAACTCCGAAACGTCTCATATGACAGCCCACTGTGGACGGCGCCTGTATGTTCATAAGGCGAAGAGGGCGTGGTCGGACGAGTTCTAACTCGTTGCGAACGTTCAAGGAGCGGGGTTAATCTATTCGTATCTAATTCATTTGCCAAATTTGGATTAGTAGCTCAGTGTCGGACTCAGTGAGAGATTTAAACGCTATAACCAACCCCTTACAATATTTTATTCCTCGCACTGGTTGCCTTCAAGTTTATAAACAAAAAAGGAACTTACCGATGGGGGTTTGCTCATTGCTCTTAACGAACGGTCGCTTGTGGCATGGAATTTCCTTGTTGGCGTGTAGGATCTGCGGAACGAATCTCTTGCGAAAAACGATCTATCTGTAAAAGAAACTTGGAGGAACTACCAAATAAAACTGATTCACTAGCTGCCACTCCTGTACTAAATTTGATCGAACGAAGTTTTTTGGACTAATTTGTATTGAGGAGAGAGAATTAGACACACCGACGAAGCCTTAGTGAAAAACTCAGACTAAAAACTCTCCGTACACCCTCGGCGTTGTGCGGCTTGGACGGTGTTTGCTTGAACTCCACAGGAGGTTGTTTCAACACTGCCTTATGTTTCGGGGCGACCACCTCTTCAGGATAGTATGACAGAGTTTTGGTCGTGTAGTCAATAGAACTCCCTACTGTGTCCTTTCGGCTTCTAAAAAGCGATTCCCACCCAAACGCTAGCCAATAAAGAGAAAACAAACACACCACGTGTGAAGCGCTTCAAGCTAAACATCTCCCTGTAAAACTCCAAAAAATGAATTATCTTAAAAGGAGGTCGTGGTGAGCGTATTTCGAAACGGTTTGTTCGCTATGATGTAGTGGTCCATAGCAAGGAATTACACAGATGGTTTCAGCTTTTCTGCGTTATTTTTTCATGTCTACTCAAAGTTCACCTCATAAACTATACACTCTCAACGATACAGCTAGAACGGAGCTGAATAAGGTGGTTCAAATCGCCCATTCTTTTCGAATTTTTTCGACCTTTTTTGGCATTCCCAATACCGTTTAGCAAAAATGAACCCATCTGTGTGGTCCTTGCATGGACCTCATGCAACAAACGTTTTAAAAAGCTCACCACGACCTGAACGACCTCCCTTGTTAGTTCCAGGTGCAGAGGTTATTGGCCGCAACGTGATGGAATTTTCGTGGGTGAGTACTTTCAAAAAGGGTTAAAAAAGCAGGGCCGCAGGTTTTCACCAGTGGGGTAAAGGGACAAATGGAATAAAAAGAGCTTGTTATCTCGGAAAATGTCGAAGATCTTTGTGGAAGGGCTGAGTGTAACATTGGAAAGATGTCAAGGTTGCGAGAGCAACGTGAGGCAAAGCGAAAGGCGATCCGTGGAACACATCTAAACAGGTGACGACTTTCACTGGGATGGAAACTGCTATCTTTGAATAACCACAAAATGATATTTTTCACTGCCACAAACTGGACGTTTCCGCTCGAAAATTTTGAGATTTTCGTTACACTCTGTGGCATTCACAGCTACTGCCCCAGTACAAATATCTTAATTTTGGTTCGATTTCATATAGTATCTTGATGACTAAATATAGTGACAAAGTCAGAACAAAGCAAAACACCCCCCCCCCTTCGACCTTTCCTCTAACACTTGATGAGACCCCAAATGCACTTTCGAAGAGTTCCTGATCGTCTTTTGATTAATCTCAGCGCTCAATACGTAATAAATCAGTACGATTTTATTAGCCTCTCGAGATTGATACTGACGCTTCATTCTGCTGACGTTGTGACCGTCGCTGTCGTGGGACCATTTTTAGTCTTAACTCAACCGGGTGCCCACCCTTCTAACGTGGAATGGAGTCCCGCGTGAGGTCTTCGACCCACCCATGTGACCACGTGAACTTCATTTTTGTATGGTCCTGTCGCGTTGCGCAGATAAATAAAGGATAGCAACCCCTTACCAAAGAATCAACCGGGAAATGGACATTTTGAAGGGGAAGGGCCCCGAGGTGGGTCACTTATCGAAGCGGAAATCTGGAATACGTGAGGTCACGGGCATCTCAGGATATGCAGGCTCACGGGCATCTCAGGATATGCAGGCAAAGGAGCGCAGACAAGAGCTGAAAACTGACGCGACTGAAGGGAGCGAGTTGAAAATAACCGTAGCCCCCCACCCACCTATAACACGCACTTGAACGCAACCAGTCGCACACTTTTTGTTCCGATAGTTCCCTATAAAAACAATGAAAAAGTTTGTT